ACAAAACCCAGCATATATTGTTGGTACTAAGGTTACTCACTGCTTATAAGGCTAGAGAATAAAGGAGTTTATGACAATGCTGGGAAGGAATTAAAAATGACCTTATCTATTCTACAGAAGAGGTGGGGAAACCCCTCTACATGGACTTAAATGTATGGATGAACCATCGGGATGATTAGATCACACAGTTTAGCTGCAAAGTCAGTGCATTGTGCTAGTTCAGCACTTTAGACTGAAACCTGCACCTGCATTTCTGCACCTACACACATGGAAAAGCATATCTGAGTCCCAGCCTACCTGAAAATCAGAGGTTGGCATGCAAAGGGAGAAGAAGATCGCAGTTCTGAAAGCTGGGCTATAACACTGGAACCTCGCCAGTTCTGAAAGACCGGGGTGGCCATTGTGAATGACTGAATTTTGCAAAAAAAATAGACAGACGCGGTAAAAAATAAATGAAGAAAAAAGCACGTTCTACCTGATAATGAACAGGGCTTTGTTCATAAATCAGTTTTGATTATGCCCATCATTTCAAAATCAGCTGCCGCATCTGATGTGGTCTTAGCAGTCGGAGTCCCCAGTCCAGCATGCAGTTATTTAGTAATTGCTGAAAAGCACCAGCCTGCACGTTAATGATGAAATGTGGCTTATCCCTACGCCGTTCAAAGCCCTGGCCCTGTAAGCAGTGCCAGGCAGGCAGACTCCTGAGATGACATAGTGTCTTTGGCAGCATCGGGGCCTTACGCTGGCTTATTACAGTAGGGAATGCCACAATTCACATGATATCAAAGGCAGTAGGAATTAAGAGAAATTCCCATTAAGTCAATTAAAGTGGAAGGTGCTTAGTATGTGGGAGGATCAAACCCAACAGTTTTGTAGGCTGCAGCCATCAGCATGATTGCAAATTTCCCTCCTTCTTTAGTAATATATATGGCCTTGTTCTTGGCCATATATATAGATATATATATATATATATATATATATGTATGTATACGGGGGGGTGTGTGTGTCTATATATATATATATATATATATGTGTGTGTGTGTGTGTGTATATATATATGTATACAGGGTATATATATGTATATATGTGTATCTATACATATACAGGTTATACACACACACACACACACACACACACAGAGGATATGTGTATATATATGTGTGTGTGTGTATGTGTGTGTGTATATATATAGATATAGATATAGTTCAGGATTCATGGCCATTTTCCTTTGTTAGCAGGTCATTGGTAGCCTGTTTTTTAGTCTGCCATTCCCATCCTTCCCATAATGCCATCTGCAGCTGGCGGCCTTGTTCCTATCTCTTCACCCCAGTTCCCGAGGTTACGCTGTGGAAAGGTGGATGCTGCTTGATCTCACTGTACTTGAAGGGAAAACATAGACGTGTGGTCAAATCTCAAGCCGCTGCAATTCAAAGGAGCCCCTTCTGTGATCTTCTACAGCTGGAAGGGATCTCTATATACCCAGGATCTCTAAATCTTAGCGGGATGTGGGGTGTTCATTTTTCCATCCAGGTTAAATCCCTGTCCGTAGCAGTGTGCAAGCCCCAGCCACTCATGCCCTCACCGTAGGGCCGCATCCTGCATTTTCACTGATACGCATTTGCTCCTTCCCTGCTCTTCATTGTCTTTTCCTTCTCTTCATACTCCAGGTATGTTTAAAAATGGTGTTTATTTTTAGGAGCATGTAGGATTAAATATTGCTCTCAGCCACACGAGTGTGACGTTGGAGGGGGAAAAATGATCTGCCTCATTGCCTTCAGCGACCCGAGGCCAAATTTGCCTCTGTGCAAGTGAGAGGAGATTTGGCCCCTTCCTTTTTAATATTTGCAGCAGAATTTGCCCTTTCCGTGATTTCCCTCAGAGCACAGGTGGTGCCTGTGGGGAAGTCGAGGGACTTCGCAGAATTTCCTTAGCAGGATGATACAGGCCCCCAGTGCTGTTAGCTCTCCACGGTCTCCCTCTCCTGTTGACAGCGATCCCTAAGGAGGAATCCGGGGAGTGGGTCTCTGCTGCGGAAACTGTCTGGGAGAGCGGGGGAGGAGGGTCTTCCCCAGGACACAGAACTGTGATGCGGTCCCTGGCTCCAGTGAAGAGAGGGATGAGGCTCGCCATTTAAAGCAATTTCTATTCGGGGTCCCAGACCTCTTGGGTCATGGGAGACTGCAGGCTTAAAGGACATTATCTCTTGCCATCGCCGCTCACCCATCACCCTCTTTCTCCTCATTCTTAACCTTCCTCTTCCAGCTCTTCGTACCCGTTCCACTGGTCATTTGATACAGAAAGTTGCTAATGAGATGGGAATCCTCCAGGAGGACAAAAGGATCGAGGCTGGGGATGGGGACTGGGCCGTATTTGGGATCAGGAATTTTACCCCTTGGTCAGATTGGTTGGGGAAGGGGAGCTGCTTTCCTCCGTAGCAGGGACCGTAGCCTCTACCCGGGATCTCTTGAGCACAGAAGCAGGACGAAGGCTGCCGTGGTCCCCCTGCTTTACCTGGGGCAGGTTCGGGTGTGAGGTCTGTGTTGTGTCAGGGTCGACAGTACCGTCTTATGTAGAGTTTAGAGGTTGGCTTGTACGGGATGCTTTGGACAGGGACGAGCCTGCGGCAGGCAGGAGGTTGGACGAGGTGGCCTCTGGACGTCCCTTCCAGCCCCACTTCTTTAGGACTCTTATGACAGCAGGGGTTGATCTTTGCTGGGCTCCACCTGGCACCGAGCCCTGAAGCCTTATTCCAGCTCTTCTCGGGCTGGCCCTCAGGCTCCGTCTCCAGACACCCCAGGGCTCAGCAGGTTGATTCTTTGCCAGGGCCCAACCCTGCAAGACGTGGGGCCCAGCGAAGCCAGGAGACCGTCAGCCCCTCATGCAACCAAGCCCTGGAGACCTGCACTGTGGCTGAGGGTTGGGCAGAGCATGGCACTGGGGGAGTCCTGCAGCCTTGTTCACCCAGAGGTGATCAGCAGGAGTGGGGAGAAGAGCCATGAAGCCAGGACAACCCCCTAGACCATTTTAATGGGAATCCCCAGGGCTTTCTAGGTGCCTGAAGGGGTCACCCTGATCTCCCAGCTCCTGATCCAGGTGTCTGAAGGAAGGGGGTGACCCTGATGATTTTCAGCCCTGCATTCAGGTGCCCGAAGAGGTAACTTTGATTTCTCAGACCCTGATCCGGGTATCTGAAGGAAGGGGGTGATCCTGATGATTCCCTAACCCTGATCCAGGTGCCTGCAGGGGTGACCCTGATCTCCTAGCCCCTAATGCCTGCAAGGGGTGACCCTAATACCCCAGCCCCTGATCCAAGTGCATGATTTCCCAGGACCTGATCCAGATCCCATGAAGGAAGGGGGCAATTCTGATGATTCCCAGACCCTGATCTGGATGCCTGAAGGGGTGACCCTGATCTCCCAGCCCGTGATCCAGGTGCCTGAAGGAAGGGGGCAATCCTGATGACTCCCCGACCTTGATCTGGGTGCCTGAAAGGGGTGACCCTGGTGATTCCCAGGCCCTGATCCAGGTGCCTGAAGGAAGGGGGCGATCCTGATGATTCCCTGACCCTAAAGTGGTGACCCTGATCTTCTAGCCCCTAGCCTAGGTGCCTGCAAGGGGTGATCCCCATACCGCAGCCCCAGATCCGGGTGCCTGAAGGCATGACCCTGATCTCTCAGCCCCTGATCCAGGTGCCTGAAGGAAGGGGGCAATCCTGATGGTTCCCCAACCCTAATCCAGGTGCCTGAAGGGGTGACCTTGATTTTGCAGACCCCAATCTGGGTGTGTGAAGGAAGGGAGTGACCCTCATGATTTTCAGCCCCTAATCCAGGTGCCTGCAAGGGGTGTCCCTAACCCCCAGCCCCTGATTTGGGTGTCTGAAGGAAGGAGGCGACCCTAAATGATCCCCACCCCTAATCTAGCTGCTTGCAAGGGGTGTCCCTAACCCCCAGCCCCTGATTTGGGTGTCTGAAGGAAGGGGGCGACCCTAAATGATCCCCAGCCCCTAATCCAGGTGCTTGCAAGGGGTGTCCCTAACCCCCAGCCCCTGATTTGGGTGTCTGAAGGAAGGGGGCGACCCTAAATGATCCCCAGCCCCTAATC